TGCGGTCCTGAGACTCTGAGAAGATCTCTGAGCCAGCAGCATTACGCCTTCAATATGCCAATTTCCTTTTTGCAGAGTGCTGTGCTTGATTTTCTTCCTTTTGCCGTCTATAAGCACGTGCGGGGATACACGTCTTTTTGCAAAGCTCATTGTTGGAAACCTCCATATCACCCTATGGCCCACTGTCTAATCCCAGTTTCCATTTTGTTTTCCATGTTCTTCTCAATTTGACTCTCTAATCAATAATTTTCCACTTTGTTTTCCTGCTGATTCTCCATTATTTCGGGACATATCCCTGTATATAAATCATTTTCTTCTCCATTAAAGTCTCCAGCATCCCTCAACCCCAAGCGGGTGAGCCTATATCCCCCATATATTAATTAATCCCCGGATTTCCGCTCATAGAATAGTGCAAGAGGTTCCGTTTCATCTTCCATTTGTCCAGATTGAGAGCCAGGTGGGAGGCAGCTTTGCCAGAGCTGTCCAGATTCGATGTGTTGGCCTCGTTTTGCTCCTGTTGTGGGGGTCTCTCACTGCTCGATTGAATACCTTACGTCTAGAAGCTGGATAAGTTCAGGGTTCAGAGATATTCAGAGCAACTCAGGGTCGAATTCCTGAAGGGAGCAGGAATTGCTCGCATCCATCAATCCCTTGTTGTGCTGCAGGGCACAGCTACAGTGAAGCCTGATGATGAATCGCAGCGCACCCAGCACCTTACATGTCAACACTTCCTGCTTCATAGTGAAGCCAAAGGTGTGTTGCAGGCTTGCTTGAGGCCAGGTTTCATATACTCGGGGCCAAATTCCAGAGCAAGTATTTCCAGTAAGATTCTACAAAAAGGCCTTATCCATAAGATGTGCACGAAGTGTGAGGTTTTGCGTGTGCGGTTGCTGGCAGCAACAGTCATGATGATGAAGCGTGCTCGCTGGTAGCAACTGCAGCACTGCCGAAAGGAGGACGCTCAGGTGCAGGACGGGTAACACAGGTAGTGATCTTCTTACCAGACCCTCCAACCCGCAGGACAGCAGTCATCGTCAAGATCAGTACTTTTTACATACTTGGTAAGCAGAGTTTTGAGACTGCTTCGTGTGCTTTTGCAAAATGGCTGGCATGGGTGCGGGCAGAGCTGGAGGTATGATGCCCGGATCTTGGAAACCTGGCCGCTCGGACCTTGGAAACATGAGAATTCCATGACTCCTTTAGCCTGCAACCAGCGAGTCTAATGGAGCTTGCTACATCGCAGCTGGCCCTCTCGCAGCGTGGGGTAGCTGGGCGGGGGGTCCTACGGCGGCGCCCATGCGAAGCTTCAGGTACGATGGATGTTCCCTATGTTCTCATACATCATTGCATTTGCCACTCATGCCTAGCGTTCTTGCCCAGTCCGACTTCACCTGCTGCAGGAGATGACAGCATGGTGCGACGCAGGTGGGCAAGTTTTGCTGCCAGCTGCCCTGAACCTGCAGAGTAGCTTTGTCAGGGCAGCGGACGGGCGAGACTCCTGCAAAGGCCAGCTTGGTAGCTGCAGTGAACATTGGTAATTGGTATTGATTCCGAAACATTCCGAAGTTATGCCCAGGTCTCAGGAGATTGCCCCAAATGCGGTGACAAGCTTCTGGCCGGCCTGCCTTTGACATCGAAGCCCCAACATCTTCAACTTTGAAAACTGGGAGTTATTTGAAGGCTGATTCTCAATTCTGTCGGCGCTGTGGCCACAAGCTGCTCAAAACGCAGGCAGCAGAAGCATATGCGTCTCCATCCATGGTCGCTCGATGACTTTGAAGGTGGACGTTGCCAGTGCAGGGCAGGATGGCCTTCAATTTCTCTGCCACCGGCCCCAGTTTGACAGCAGGCCTTCCCACTTCATTTGGACTTTATCAAGGCTCCAAGTATTCCTCCCTCATCACACGACTCCGCGAGGAGGCGGCTGCCTTAGACCCAAATCGCCTGCGCACGAACCCCTGTCATTGACAACCTGTTCGCAAAGCCTGCGTCAGCTGTCCACCTGCTTTTATTCTGGCCAAGTGAATAGATGCCGGCATGTCCAGTCAAAGTCGAAGTAGAAACTGGGCCGCTCATAGCTGACACAGCCAGACTGGTAGGGAAACGGCGCCGAGGTCCTCGCGCGGCAGCAAGCCGAGGCAGAGGCACGGCTTTTGGAGACCCGCTTGCGTTTGGCACTTGGGCCCTCACTTCGCCTTCGAGTCATCCTTGCACTAGCGTCTAGCACTGGCACGTCTGCTCCTTCCCCATAGACGGGTGAGCTAAACTGACACAGTAGCCGAGGCGAGGAATCGGAGGGCTGGCAGCAGGCACCCAAGTCTACAGTACAAAAAGATTGTCAAGACGACCTTCCTATATTTGTTGAAGTGCTGCGATTAGCTGCAGATTTCTTGTCCATGCAATAAGTGCAGGGCTCTTTCCACATGCGCGCGAGGAGAGGGCCGGTATCATGCGGGAGCAGCAGAAGTTGCGAGAAGAGATTGCAAGTCTGCGGGCGCAGCTGCTGGGACAGAGGTGTGGTTGTTTCTCCTCCCGCAAGTCTAGAAGTCAGAGCGCGATGACTGTTTAGAAGAAGCCATGTGGCAGTTTTTCAACGATAGGTCACAGGCTCTTCTCTTTGTAGCACCGCAATGAGGGCACCCGCAGAATGACACGTCTTTTTTCCAGAAATGGAGGCAGCCAATCACCTGACGTCTTCGATAATCGGGCTGCCAGGTTGTGGAAAGCGGACACGGAAGCCGGCAACCGTGGCACTCCTGGCAGGCCTGAGGATCCAGACGGTGCCGCGCGGGCACATTGTTTGCTGAATTTGGACACTGTCTGCATCGTTCTTTAGGTCTTTTTCTCGCTGATGTTGCTCTTGCTTGTGAAGCCTGTGCTCACTTGTTGGCCTCGGTGTTCGTCTCATGGCATGCCTGCCACGAGCATTAGGCTCGTACTTCTTACGCATCTTCCCCGTTCCGGTTAGCACAGCGTTCGCGTGGCATGGATCCACCGCTCTGTTCTGCAAATTGCTGCCACACTAGCTGTTTTAGCAACTGTTGTCTTGGACGTTGCCCTTTTCTGAGCAGTTTACATCACGGAAGCACAATGCCGTCTTCAACAGATACGCCGCTAAGCAAGTATCTGCATCTGCCGCAGAAGCAAAGGAAGCCCTCACAGTTCCCCTCGCACAGTTCCTGCTGTTGCTGTCAATTAACTTCCTTGCTGGAAGAACCTGGCAGGGATCCGGCACCAAGTGAAGCCTGGCATGCAAGTGAGTAGGGCACAGTAGGGCAGTTCGATTTATGGCAGGTACCGACATGGAGCTTGCGTGAGCTTTTGGTTTTTTCCTTTTCTCAAGCATGGGAGCGGGTCAAAACCAAAGGCTTGTAACAAGGCCGGGGCCCACACACGCGACATAC